GCTTTTTGGATGCATTTAATTCGGCTTCAAATTACGGGTTATGAGGCTGTAATATATAGAAAGCTAGCCTAATTAGAATAGTCTCGGAAGTGGAATGAAGGACTCCACCTCCCCCACCACCTCCTAACACATGCATCACTTTGAGAACATGCCTTGTCAACTACTGTACTTTATCAGATATCACGAGGCAAAAGAAGCCGCGGTTGCGTTTTAAATATGGTAAACCTAGGGTGTTCTACCAGCTAGCAGCAAAAGTACGAAAAGGAAAGCGTAAATGTGTTTGGGGGTACCACGTACGTTGTTAGTAGCCACAATGATATGCTCAAGTAGTTCTGGTCGATTGCCGAGTGAGGCCAGACAGGGTTCCAGTTCTCTCAGTCGCCCACACAGAAGGACCTTTTTAGTGTGTTCTAAAATGAAGACACAAGACCGGTAAAGAAAAAGTTACTCCGCCTAGTTGCACAGAAGCGGCCAGAACGGTTTGTCAACAGGGAACGTGCACTTAAGGTCGCTATCTATTAACTTCAGGACTAAAGGCTGCAGTATAGAAGTCTCCCCCGGACTAACAAGCAACTCGTTCTATGTATATAATAAGCTTATGAAATATTGCGTATCTGCGTAGGTTATTGGAGGGTGTTCACGCCCTGTTAGCAGTGTTCTACGGCAAGAAGCAAACAACTGAAAGTACTAAAATGCGAACGGGCTATTCTTTCTATATGATAAAAACATTTCTCAGTCATTATCCAAGGAATTGCGACTATATTTTCAGAAAAGTGTTGTGAACACTGGTTAAACATCAAACTTGTTAACTTGGTTTAAGTAGTTTTGTGCTATAGATGGTTCCACAATATGCATGCAATTGACTTATCCGAGCCCTTGGTTGGTCAGCTTCATATTCACATATTAACTTTTTTAGACTCAATACTATGTCAATATGCAAATGCAAAAAATAGGTAGGTTAAGGCCAAGTATCGAGGAACACCACATACCTTTGTTTTCAGAAAGACACGATATAATTTTTTCGCAAACAAATGTAAGTTCTTCCGAGGTGTGTCTTATGGAATCGCGAGGGAATTCGTTCATTATGGGTATAGCTTGCTCACAAACACGTTTACTTGGTTTGCCAGGGATGTACATGAATCTTATTTGCGTCTGTGCCGTTTATATTGATGAGCGGTGTAGCCTTGAGCGGCACGCGGCACCCAATTAAATCGCACACAGGC